CCAGTTGAACCGAAAAATTCACATGCACGTAAAAAAGATTATCGGATGAATCGCATTAAAGAATGTACGACCAGTGTTTTTAATCGATGAGGTCAATGTGGGTCAATTATCTCACGGGAGAGCACTTGGGCCAATTAAAGGGAATAAAGCGTCAGTACCTTCCGCAACATTACAAACCCGTTTTCATCGAAGGTGACCGTTGTGGTAGAATGACGTGTGGTATTACGTTTCTCCCTACGTTTACCCGAACTGTCATCGTTATTTATTGATAAATCAGTGTCATAACTGTCATCAGTGCCACTATTCTCAATGTCACTAGATTCTTCGTCGCAAGTGGGGGCCACTCGGTTCTCCTGAATCCAGCGAAGGCTCATTTTGCAAATAAAATAGTAAACAAATTCGAAAATCAAATGTTCAGAGCAATTCCTCCTGATGTAAATAAAATTTATGAAATGTGCAGTGGTTTCGCTCTGGCAATGAAGAGGAAATTCCCAGGATTTAAAATCAGACCGAGAAATTGCAAAATTATGAATAGATTCACGCTCAAGAAAATATCCTTTGAATTTTTCTTGAATTCAAATCCTTTCGAGGGAAGAGCTGATGAATCTTGGAAAAAGGACAATGCCACTGGTATCACTACCGATAACTTGAGAGGACTGAATTAAACAGCACGAGCGGTGGACCCGACGCGCGTTTGAAGCTCGCACCCACACCATAAACATGTGAAACGTTCTGCACCGTTTAACTTCGTGTACTCTACGTGGTACACGAAGTAATACATGCAGAGCTCCACCTCTATTTATAGCCCAATCGAACCTGTGTACCCAACACCAAAGCCCAATATTTCGCCGATTGACCTTGCATCGATTTCCACTTGAACGATTACAAAAATTTTTCCAATCAAGATCCAAAAATTGACAGATCGATTTAACAAATCAATAGTAATTAAAATTAAAAGTGAGTTGCTGATTCTTCGGATTGTTATATTCGATCGAAGTATTGGTCTGAATAAATACTATTCGATGCTCCTGTTTCCTATTTCCAGATTTACCTCCGCGCGCTTGCAATTTCTAAATATAAGAGAACGCTGAGAATGAGGTTTACGATGAAACACCACGAGAGATCCCCAGCGTTTTTCTCATGGGGAAATGACAGGGATCCATTTTTATGATGCATTAAACGTATATTTCTCAGATAATAGAAAATTACACTCCTCACTTTATGCTTGTAATTCACCTCGATAAGGTGAAACGTATCATACAATATTTCACAGTAAGTGATTATTTCTTCGAGGCACTGAAGCCAGCGAAGATCCATACATTTGAAATTTAAATCGTAGATTTATTGGGCCGTATTACCGTTTCGCAGAACGGATATGGTGTTATACATTTAAAACAATACTTCTTTACAGCGTTAAAGTCTATATTATTTCTAATCATACATCCTTAAAGTTTGATAAATTTAACAGTTTCTTCTCGGGATTAAAAACATTCGAGATAATTATTTAGCATAAGAAACAATCCCGTCCAATCACTGGACTGCATAAATATCACAATTTATAATACAAAATATACAGGGATTTGACCAACAAGATCTCATTTCAAAGATTGTGGAAATTCATTCAGGAATGAATCAATTCCTCTAATTACATAAATACATTTTATGTACAATTGTTAGTCAACTTCTAGAGTAACATAATTTTTCGCGCCTGGTGGATGGCTTGCGGCTATTCTGATAGATATATTTACATGATAAAATCGAATGGCGATGAGACAGTGCCAACAGTTCGCTGAAATAAAAAAAAACGCAGTTGATCCGCATAATGCGTATTCTTTAATCAGCATGGATCCATAAAACTGGGGTAATTTAGACGCAGCTGAACTTGACACCTGCAAAACGCAATTCAAAACGTCCCCATGAGTAATTTTGAAAGAAGAAAAAAATATTCTCAAAGCGATTATGGGAATTTATCATTTTATATTTAAAAAATATCAATTAAAACTTGTGAATTTGTACCGTCATCGCTAGAGTAGCAATTATGGCAGTGAAGCTTGTGATTCCGGACACGAACGTCAGTTCCCATGAGTCCGTCACCAAGACGTACATGACAGACACAACACTTGAAACACTCCATATGGTAGAATAGCCGAAGGCTCTCTATAATCATGGCTGCTCCTCGCCCTTCACCATAAAAATAACAAATCAATCATTAAACAGGAAAAGAATTCACTGATTTTCTCGTGTGCATTAAAATCAGAGGTAATGTGCATACCCAGTTCATCACCACAGTGAGAGCATTTCTTCTTTCCACTGACACTCAGCATTTTCTCCTGTGACTCAACACTCGAGGCACCCGGAGACTGATGCACCTTTTGATGCATCATTGCATGGTGTTGATGTGGCTGATGATGGGGTATCGACAGCTGTTCTTGGCTCACACTGTGCTCCAGTCTAATATTTTATTTAAATTATATGTTATCAACACGTCATTTCTAATAACGAAAGGTGATAAAAAATATTAACCTGCGTCGAATGGGTGGTGGCCGATCGTGCGCTCTATTCTGTATTCTCTGCGTGAGTGTCTGAATAATAGAATCAGGTAAAGGTTTACCATCAGGCTTGGCAGAAGTGGCAGTATACAAAACCGATGTGCCAGTCATATGTGGTTTTCTCGCTGGAGTCCGTTGATTCTTCTCATTTATCCTCCTCTGCTCCGCCTCCTATCCCGCCAAGAATTAATTATATACCTATTATATATGTAACTACGACACATGATGATCCAATGGACATCAACTCGACGCGTCTCCATGGTCTCCATCAAATCCCCACCAACAAAACACAACTGACAATGCGATTGAATGACTCACCTGAATAAGCCAGTGCTGATAATTAAAATCCTGAGTAACCCTGGGTCCATCACTCTTCCTCCTCTGTACCCACTGATCATTCTTAACAATTCTAGTCCTCGGTACAGCACTGAGTGCCTGGAGTGTCTGCTTAGTCATCTGCTGGCCTAACTGTGGTGCCAGTGCTGTTGTAGAGACACTGTGTCTCAGCGATGCATCAACCTGCTGAGGAATGGAGTCGGCCGATGGAATCCGACTGTTTCTGCGCATGGAGAGATGCCACAATTGTTACGGAATTGCATTTCGATTTTTCATTCACCCTTTCCCCAGCTCACCAGTTATGCAAGTCATTGGTGGGGAAAAGGAAGAGCGGATGAAACATTGGCCGGAAATTAAAAGGCAAATACATAGAGGACGATGCCTTCCTGCCACACTCCGGTGGAGGAGAACATTCCACAGAAATAGTTCCATTCATTTCAACTGGAAAAACACTATTATTTACCTTATGGTTGCATCGCGCTGTCGCTGGTCCAAGAGTCGAAGGGGTTTCGCTGGTGGTATGGGTGGCGGTGGTGGCCGCCTCCTGAGTCCCTCCTGGAGCTGGAGATTGGGCATTGACGAGCGATAATTGAGGACACTAATGTTTTGATAGGTTGGGTGGGGATTTGGCGGTGTGGGATGATTGACGTTCTGGAGGGATTGCCACTGCTCTTGGAGTTGATCAGCCAATTGCTGTTGCTGTTGCTTCTGCTCGCGATATGCCATGTTGCTTCTCTGGCGCTTCAATTCCTCCTGCTCGAGCTGCAGCAATTCCCTCTCCACTCGGAGAACCTCACCGGATGGATAATCATCGTCATGGCTGTACTTCACTGCTGTCAGCGCGCTTTTCTATGGAGAATAATTCAATGGAATGAGCTGGATAATTGTCGTTTATCGAGGCTATGAGTAATGGTAATGATGATGTTGTTGAAGGCTTACTTCCTGGTCGCGAATTTGATCCTCTATGGATCTCAGGTGAATTTCTTCCTGTCTACGCATTTCCGCTGTTCTTCTATCGTTCTCTAGCTTCTCGTCGTGCAGTCGAGACTGCTGCAACTGCTCGGCTTTTATTCTCAACTCCTCCTCTCTCAGGCACTTCTCGTCGGCTTCCTGTTGCTGCTGCTGTTTTCGAATTGTCTCTTCCTCCTGTTTGCGTGCATTCTCATCATTCTTACGCAATGTTTCCTCTTGGCGCTCACGTTCCAACTGCATCTTCTCCTCCTCCAGCTCACGAAGCTTGTCAGCGAGCTTCTCACCGAGGTCGCTGCGTTCCAAAATACTTTTGCACATTTTTGTACACTCCTCGGATTTATGGTCTATTTTGTGTGGTTTATTGAGGCTTAGAGGTAGAAGGTGGAAAGGTAATTGCACTGAGAGAAATTTCCAGATTTACGGAAATCTGAGATTTTCACGGAATTATTTGGAAATTTTTTTTTTTTATGGGTTTTTATCTCAGATGGAAGTTTTTACATTTTTACAACAGGTGATGATTCAGGTAAAATTTTGGCTAAAACTTTCTATCAGTGTAGCTATTGTAGTGAAGATATGAATAAAGCGTGGCAGAAATTTGGAGAGTCAACAATAAAATTATTCAGGAATTCAGGGATTTAAAATAGTTCGTGAATTCCGGGGAATGAAGCGTAAATTTCCATAGTCTCATGCATATTTGTCATCAGATGATAGTAAAGTCGAAATATCCATCATAATTTCCCAAAATAGGCCGATGTTTATAACTAAAGTGTGGCATAAATTGTAAGAGTCAAAAAAAACCGATTCTAACAAGATAAAATAGTTTATTACCCTTAAATAGCTACAAAAAATTTTTTAATTCACTAGGCAACTATAACAATCGATATAGAGCACCCATTAACCAATACTCAACAGAGAACAGTTCGCGAGAAATATATTACACCGAAAATTGAAATATTAAGATTAAAATTGGTGAAATGTGGAAGTCCAACGAGGGATTTTTTTATTTTCTACCTGTTTTGTTCGCGGTCACTGCCGTAACGCCACTGTTCCTCCTTCTCGAGGACTTCGATAATCTCTCGCTCTTTCTTGGTGATCTCGTCCTCCTCGGACGATGTGACACTGGCACCGAAGGGCTCGCTACTCTGACGGCTGTGCTGAGACATGTCAGGACTCACTGGTTGTTTTACCCAGTCATCAGCGTGACCGAGTTCAACTCCCGAGTCCCTCTCATGACTCGAGTCTTGCTCGTAGTTGCTGTCTGTGTCGTATGACCGACGTTGCAGTTGTTCTATGCGCCTTTCCTCAGCAAGAATAGCTGCCATATCCGGTGGTCGAGCCAGACTCAACTCAAGATCATCATCATTGATCTATTTGAACAATATATTGATTGATCGACTCATTCATCTTAATTTCAATGAAATTCCCCATCGAGATAGAGAAATATATTTATGTTTCACTTACACCTTCAATTCCCAAAAAATCAGAGCGCCTCGTTCTCAATTCCTTTTTAATTCTCCTGGTGGAATTCAACCTCTTGAGCGGTTCAATCGGCTGATTTTCCTCATCGCTGAAGTCCGTCGGAGGTGGAGGTGGTTTCTCCTTCGGTGGTTCACCGCTGCTCGGTGGCCCAAGGGGGAAAGTAAGTCCAGCAACAATTTCCTCGTCATTCGACAGATTCAGCTGTGGAATCTAGCCAATCGCAATACCAGAATAAAACTAAAATGCCACTTATAATTGAAATGTTAAATTGCTACCAGTTTATTCATTAGTACTGCAAGGTGAACGTCTAGAAGGCACAATGAATTCACGCGCAATCTTGCGTCAGACAGATAAGAATAATTGGTCAATTTGTCAACGCCAAGCGCTGATATTTTCACTTGCACGGTTATAAGCGAATAAATATGATAAATAATGAGATTAATGGTGTAATCGAATTGGACTCACCTGTTTGCTGGAAGGTGACAGTGGCCCGATGAATTCCATGGTGTTAGCAACAGGACTCTCCTCGAATGTCAAGTCGGTTTGACTGTCACACGACAATGAAACTATCGACGTTACAACCAGCTCTGTATCAGACTCAATCTGAATCTCTGTCACCTGTTGGTGGTTTGCTCTTGGTGTGACAGGAGAGTCAGAAGTCTCTACCTCAACTGTGGATTCACTGGTACACGCTACCTCCTCTTCGTGCTCGACTGGCGTTGACTCGGTTTGCACCACTACTATTTCCTCGTCTACGCTGCTACCACCGATAACAATCGATTCCTGCCAGAGGTAGAGGTGAACAGAGACGAATTATTGGTGGTGAATATTTTTTTCTCCCCTCCTCTTATGAATTTTGCACACTACAAATTTTGCAACGCCACATTCTATGCAAATTTCGAGAGAAGAAGAGAGTGAACAATGCGAGATGCACCGTCTCTCCCTCATCTCGAGTGAATCGATCGAATTCCCCTGGGTCTAGGAGATTCTTATCAGCATTTTGCTATTCCATGCATCGTGATTTATTGCGCAATTTCATGGCTTTGAATTTGTAGAATATTTAGAAGTACGTGAAGGGTAAATATGGGAGGTATTACAATAACTACAGCATGCCATGGATCATGCAACACAAATCTATAAATTTGCCGGATTTTTTTTTTTTATTCAATTGGCGGATTGCGATTGAATTGGAAGGGGAGATGTTGTGTTCTGGATTTGGGAAAATTCTTTCATATACGTAGAGGTGATAAGGAGGTGATAAAGTGATAAGCCACGCACATACACAAAAGTTAATCAATTTTTCGTGCTGAAACACACACTAGGGGAATTAAAACACCAATAGAGATTGATGTCACGTGAGTAAATCGATTGTCACTGGTGGAAAGAGTGTGGCTCGCTCATCCAGCGGTGATAGCTAACATCTGTCGTTTTATACACAAATTATCACTCGGTTTTTTTTTTATGAAGCAACGAAGGTTTGTGGTTAAACTTCATTGCATCACTGCAAGTGGATGCACAATTCTACTCTCTAATTTTTACCAGCATCTCTTACCTCCTCTCCTGTCCCGAAGTTTTCCTTTCCTTTGCTCAATTGACAGTCCGTCTTCTTATCCGTTCTAGGTCTATTTACGTAAGCAATTTTCTAGGCGATCATCGCAGTTAATTATCTACAGTTCAATTAAATTCTGACCTCAGTCACGAGTTGAAAAATTAATGAATCGGAAAAAATGAACGGAATTCATGATAAAATGGGGAGAGGGGGATTACTTCCAAGTTCAGATAAAATAAAGAGAGATAAGGGAAGCACCAATTTGAGAGGAAATTGCTTGGGATGGTCACACCCTTTTGTCAATTCAAAACTCAGTTCGGGAATTTCGAAAACGGAAATCAATTATCACTGACATTGAATGTTGTTGACCGAGATAAAATGATTCATCAAATAAAATTAAACACGAGAAAATATTGGTAATAGAATGACAATGAGAATGAGAAACTCGAGAGATTGTTTTCCAAGTACGTTTTCATATATTTCATTTAATGTATTCCTTCCTCAGTGCCTACAATCACCGAGTGACAATCCACTGGAACTAAGATGATTTCACCTTACAGAGAAACCGTTACAATCGCTCCTAAATCGTCCAATAAATAAATAATACATAATTTTTTTATCAAGGACAGTCACACTCCATTTATCACAATGAACTTTGCGGAGTATCTAGGTTTGTGTGATTTTTGGTTGATGAGATGTCCGTTATTGTTATGCCCATATGTTTCTATTTACACTGCTGGCTGTGATTATAATCGCAGGCGCATCAAATGACGGGTCGTACTTTTAATTCAGTAATTAAATGACACAACTGTTAATTCATCACTGCTCCGATGTTGAGAAATTTTTTACGTGCAACAGGAGAGAAGATGTATCTTTAAAAAAATTATTCGAGGTGACGCGTCTCAAAATTCTTATCATTATCACTTTTATCGTGTGTGCCCATGAAATCGAAACTTTTAACAATTAAAAAAAAACATTGTTCTCCCATTTTCGAGTATTCCACGAAGATATCTCATTATTTCAATTTTAAAAGACGTGACTCAGCGGCAATTTGATAAGAACATAAGTTTACTAATCACGCGTACATCTACAGACAATAAAACGTATCGTCGTCGCGATAACTATAATCTCTGTAACCACCACCTAATGAGCTCTTTTGAATTGATTTTTTTCAGTTCGAAAAAGTGATATGCGTCGATCCGCATGAATTCGAAGATACGGCTTTCCAAATTTTTCCCTCGATTAATTTCTTTAAATTAATTCTTTGAATTAACAGTGAAAAATACGTGCCATCACTTGATTGTTAACTACGCGAAATGAATGAATTAATCCAGTCTATCGAATGAATGGACCTCCTCCAGCTGAAATATTTACAATATATCTAGCAATGAATGCAACAGGAGTATTAATATTAGTATAGATATTAGGCTCAGCATTTTCGTGATGCAATATTAAATTGCTGATCATTACTCCTAACCTCGATGAATGGGGTGACTGGTAGTGGGGGTGATTCACCCTGAGGCACAACAATTTTTTCGCATATTTCTACGACCGTACGTCTTCGTTCGATCATTCTCTCTTGATTTGTATCAAGCTGATTGGACTCTTCCTGCTGGCATTTAAAAGGCGATGGGATTTTCGATGGCGATTTCAAGCACAATTTCGGCTGGGGAATAATTTTAGCTGGCGATGATGGAGGTGTGCATGGTGATGATGTCCCTGAGTTTATTTTCACATTAACTGATTTTCGTGGTAAGGGAGTAGGAATTTTCGATGGTTTATTTACTGGAGAAGTTGAATCTTTCGTATCCGATATTTTTGTGGGACTAGTTGAGGCTTTTGAATCTGTCTCAGTTTCAGCTGACGAGGGCATTTGCTCGGATACATTTGTGCTCGAGAGATCGATTTTAATCTCGGGTGGACATCTACGCGGGGGAATTCGGGGGCTCTGATAAACAATTGTTCGACCAGATGATAATTTACTACTTGTACTGCTTGTCGTTGGGACGGAGGTGTCCGGAAAAATTCGCAATTTGTTAATCGGCAGTGTTCCAGCTCCAGCGGTACCCTGGATTAATCAGAAAATACCAAAGACCAACTTTTTACACCCATGACAACCCACAACCAGGAGAAGATGAAGTACACTACAGATATTCCCTTTTAGTCTTTACCTTTACTTATATTTTTAGATTTATAAAAAGAATTTGAAGATTCAAAAGAAGAATTGAAAATTTCTCCCGTACGGATATTTCAAATAGTACTCTCCCTCCACCATTAAATAATTACGAGTATCTCAAGAGTACTCACCTCGGTTATCACCGCCGAATGTTGACTGCCCTGATCATCTCCACTTTTCTCCTTTGACACTGTCTCCCTCTCAATAACACAAGCCTCCAAGAGGGCGTCACCTCGATTGGTTTTATCCGCAATTATGATATCCTTCCGGGCCTCAATAATCGTAACCTGAGACTGCACGATTTCCTCATCGACAGGTTCATCAGCCTGACTGACCGAGCAAGAGACATCGGCAGTGTGAATGCCAGAGTCCTCACGATCCGTATCATTGAGAAGCTCCGCAGAAGAGGCAGATGGTGGATACCTCTGGGTATAGTCAAGCTCCTCAAGACTCTGAACCCTCTCAAAAGTATCGGGTCCACTGGAGGCATCAGCATCGAGTGAATCAAGACTTCTGTGAAATGCAGTTCTAGGTGCCCTGTACTCTGAATCCGGAGAAGAGCTCCGTTCACTGGGTGTTAAATTATCATTATGAAACCGGAGAATCTGCTTGTCCACCGGTTTCTTATCAGCCTCCTTGCACCTCCCATTTTGCCTGACAATTGGTCCTCTTGGTGAGGATGACTCATCGCTGCTCGCATATTTCTCAAGTGTCGATAGTCTCTCTCTCAAGGGCCTCACTGGCTCCAACTCATCGACACTTGGCTTTCGCGATATTTTACTCTCACGGTCAGTCGCCTGTTTCTCCAGGTGAGAGAGACGCTCGCGAATTGAGCTCATGTCACCCGAGAGCCTGTTCAATGACTTGATACTCTTATCTCCCTGCTCTGACTCGTGCTTCTGTTTATCGAGACTCGATAGCCTCTCTTTGATCGACTTGCTGCTGGAGAAATCGCCAGATGATCTGTTGTTATTTTTATTGTCATTATTGATCTGCGAGGCCTTTTCAAAGATTTCTCTTCGCTTCAGGATATCAACCTTGACCACTGGATAGTGTATATCGTCCGTGGAGCCCTTATCCTCGTAGTGATTTGTTTTAACGCTATCCAATTTGGTTTCAATATCGATTAAAGATCTTCGTGGTATATTTTGAGCGACTCTCGATACGTATCCTCGGATAGCACCTTCATATGTGTATTCCTCAGGCTCGGGTGAACTCACAGTGGCCGTTGTACCTGAATCGTATTCCCTTTGATCGTGATCAGTGATAAATCCATTGCCAAATGCTTTCTTGCTGGGTGGATCAATGACACTGGATGTGTTTGTAATGGGTCTTACGTTGTTATTGTCAACAATGCCATTACCATTTTCATTGGTAACATTATCCAGATCGGAGTGATTCTTATCGATCTCACTGTCTCGATCGCTCTGTAAAAAATCCAAAACCAAAAAATAAAGAGGAAAATAAAAAAAAAAACAACGAACACATGTATATAATCGAATTAGCATAGCCATTGAAAACGAGTCCATTGAATTTGAATATGCAAATGGCTTGTTGACTCACAAGAACACTCTGTGTGTCGTCGTGGGTATCACCGCTGACAGAGCTCTTTCCGCTGCTTGTACCAATACCAAGATCACTCAAGTCATTTGAATCCTCCTCGTGGTACATTGCCAAGCTCATGCTGAGTTTTCGCCCTCTGTTGCCACGCTCCTCCATCATCTCGGAGAAGGTTTTACTTCGTCTTCTCTGTCTGTCGTGTTCCTCGAGCTCGAGCTTCTTGACCTCAACCACTCGCTCGATTATGTGCTCCTGACGCTTCCTCCTGCTGCTCTTCCAATTGTCCAAGTTCTTGGCCGGCAAAATAAAACAAATATTTGTCGAGAATGATCAAATAAGGAAGTGGGGGAACATAATTGAAATAATAAATGAACACTGGGTATTCTCCATTGTTCGTGAATTGTGCTCACCGATTGCCAGTCTTCCGGGTCATCGCGCACCTCTTGTTTCACTTTTTTTACCTCCTGAACCTTTTGCAATTGCTCTTGGGCTGTTCGGTAAAGTGAGCAGGGGCCGACTTTAACAAATTGGAGAGGATTTGTCGCTTGTTTCGGGGGTGTTTTTAACGTTGTCTTCAGCTTTGGTGGTTCGTGGGCCATCTGGAAGTAAAAAAGTCGCATTCCAATATTTTCTAGAAATCCTGTCCATTTTTTTTTTCATCTTGAATCGCTGATTATCATCCACAAGGCCAAATCCACGAAATCAGCAATTGATTAATGAAGGAATTCAATTTTGAAAGGATAAATGATTGGCACTAAAAAATATCTATTTTCTCAAAAGCATTATTGATTGATTCCCTCTGACATATTTCATTTCGACAGAATATATTCGGATACTTTCTCATTCACGTCTCGACTATTTGATTTATCGGATTGTATTCCAGACACTCAATAAATCCACAAGAATGCGACATTTATTCCATTAATTCCAGTATTGAATTTTTTTTTTGTACGTATAATAGGCGTTTTTTACGAGAGGGATAAACAGCCATTATTTCCACTCGAAAGGTAAAAATGGGAAAAATGACAGTAATTATTTACCATTCGATCGTTTCGCCGCTCTGTTGCGGCTGTCTGAGAGGATGGCATCCTCGTAATCTCTTCACCACTCGAAGATCATCCTCTTTACTGCAGGGTGATTCCTCGCACTGACGAGCCCATCCTACACTCCACCTCTGTAAAGACACCAGAAAATCATAATAAAGAAAAAATTCAAACACCTCAAGAACGAAGAGAAAGGAAAATCAAAGGGCCCACGTGTCCTAAATTTTCACCTGGATGCTTTCCACTCTACAATTTCAGCCGCGATAAAAATTACCGATGAAATACTATCTCAAATTCTCACCACAGAATTAGAGATTGACTATATCTCAGGTGATTGGCACTAATCCCATCCACTTTCCGACTTCACCTTCAACGATTCGATACACGACACGAGGAATGTCAGTCTGTAATCTAATTTTCATAATGACACTCTTGATTTGAGAGGTAAGCAGCGCATACGATAATCTACCTTTCAAAAATTAGCATGAGGTAATAATAGTCATGAAAAAATGGGATTGCATTAATTAAGGAACTGTGAGGTCAATGATTGACAATATAGTGTTTGTTGTATTTGTTGTATTTGTTTTATTTGTTCTGTTGTCCCATGTCCATAGACAGAACTACAACGATTGATACGAGAGTCTCTACCCCAGCTCAACCCTCCGTGAGTTCTCATTTGGTGTTTTCAGCGTGAAACCACCGAGAATTCTGTACGTCCAATCGCATGTGTACATGTCTCTCGAGGACTTATCGTGTATACCCGAAGAACTAGTGGTAAAAAGACGAATAATGTTAAAACAGTTCTCCCTCCTATTTACCCCAACCTGTTATCGCCGAGACTCGATGCAACCGAGATTCCCAACGAGGAATTTCTACATACCCAGTATCAGCTCTTTTGCCCGTCTTATCTCTCTCCAAACAAGCGACCATTTATCTCTCGCAATTTTCCCCGTGGATGACAAAAAAAAACGGCCAAAAACAGAGAGAAAGGGAGAGAAAAGGATAGCCAAGAATACTCGGGACAATTATAACTGAAAAAATCTCAGGCGAACCTATAAATCTCTTCATTTCGATGTTCTTACGTATTAATTAGAGAATTCTGTATAGTTGTGGATGAATTTTTTGCTCTGAGACCGGTACTTCACCGCAACAGATACCGGGACTCGTCGAAAAATACAGCCTCCAGGGATAAAACGACTGGGCATCATCAGTTTCAAGAAGTCGTGAGCAATTTCGACCCCTCAGTTGATAGGAATCAATCGTGCTGTCTGCCTTAATATCCAGACAATATAGCACAGTGGCTATGAATTCTTACGTATTATTCTCATTTTTTTTAATTTTTTCATCCCATTCAATGTTTTGAGTAAATTGTTGGATAGCCTGAGAGGTCGTGACGAATGAAAATGATAAAACATCATTGCGCAATGGTTCACAATGAAGGTGTATATTCTCCCAGACGTAAGAGCTGGTAATAATATTTTCTCACTAATTCACGCCCGCACTAATTGCTGTGATTAGTCTTGATTCCGTGATATTGCTTTTGGTGTTGGTGAAGGACAAGTGGGTAGTGGAAGAATTTGTTGAACCAGAACATTGCTTCCGCCCTCGTTTGGTGAAATTAGTTCAGAAGCTAGTGAGCGACGCCTGATCAGGGCGTGCCACATTTAACGATGGACTGGGCATTGTCCATCGGTAGAATTGTCGGCAAATAAAGCTGTATTCATCCAGATACGTGTCGTTTGTTTTGGACTGTAATCTTGAGTGATGTTTTGATGCTCCAGAAGAGAAGTCTGACCACTGGGTGTAACCGCTGTGCGGCACAATTTACTCAGCGATTCAACCGTGGAAAACTTGTTGAGAGTCAAATACCAGAGGCTACCAATAGCATCAGTACGTTAGCGCCATTGAATTCTAATCGAATTTCATTGTGATTGAATTGGATTTTCTGCTCTCCCGATTTCTAGACATTGCCGGTACTATTTTACGCCTCTCCCCTGTCCAGTCGGCCTGTTTAAGATCTCAATATGATCATTCTGGTTAGAGATCCACTGGAGAGAACTGGAATTTGATTTATACGACTTGGCGATGTCCGTGACGAAAACAAGAGTATATATTCATCCTGATGCTGGCAAGGTTCTGTTGAACCGTTGATTTTTCTGTTGGATCAAGCAGATACCGACACGCTCTGGCTATTCCCTCGGTACAACCTGGGGGGAAATACTATTCACCGAGTAATGGTTACTTTGAATCTCCAAAACAAACCATAATGCAAACCGTAAAAGGTGTAAAACGTAAAATGTAATGAATAATAAATCAGAATATCTCGGGTTTAAGATATTGTCGAATTTGATGTGATCATAAACTAAAAAGTTCAGCTTCAATGTAGACTGTTTTATGAGTTTTTCTAGAGAGCTATGCGGCATTGCCTCGAGGAGAGTTGGAAAGTCACTTGCTGGCGTTTCCTCACGATTTTCTCATTCCTCAGCCGTGGCCTGTCTCAATTCTCCATATGTATTGAAAGAGTTTGCCTCTCATCTCTAACTTGTGACGATCTCGTTGCTACTTTTTTTTTTTTACCTGCATCAACGTACACACCGGGTCACAGAAACTGTACATCCCCAGCTCCACAACCAATGTAGCAAATCTTTTTCTGTCCACGCATTTCAGGGAAAAAAATTATTCATCAATTAAAAAATTGTAAAGTATCATCGAGATCGAGTTGATAAAATTTTTCAATTGTGGATTTAATCCTGAGATGAAGGAGGAAAATGTGCTCTATCTATTTGATTGAGGAATCTCGAGACTGATTCAGTGATATGAAAATAAATAAAATACAGCCTTCGTGGATTTTTTTGTGATGTTTGGTGAGCATTGAAACGTAACAAACACCGATATCCACTGGTGTAAATAAGAGTCGCTGATATAGACATGGCAATTGGATGGTTCTGCAATCAAGAATCCTGAGCTCCATCTCACGTGCTCCATGCATACACACAAACTCGTGGTCTGATTACAGCCCTTCAACGAGGATCCAACAGTCCCGTATATTATTCCTGGGACCTGGTGTAATCGATTCTCGCTAAATCTCAGGCTGTCCTCTATCCCCTCATCCTCTTCATTTTACTCGTTTTCCTTTTTTTTCCTCCATTTCATTCCCTCATCGTTGTTTATTTGGAGTTGTTGCTCCATGTTGGTCAAACTCGGGGCATTTAATTGAATCGTCAGTTTGATTGTTACATTTTCTTCGGTTGTAATGGCAGGTTTATTACAGAGGAAACTTGATCGACGTAACAGTACATTGGTGGCCAGAACCTCAGGGACGCGAGAAAAGTAGTCTCTTTAACGGTTTAGGAGGATTTATCCGGTGCCTCCTCATCGTGCACTCGTCTCCCCGTCGCGATTGTATTTTTCCAGTGTTTTCTTGTTCATCCAGGCTTGAGTAATGATAATTTTTCACCTGACCTCGAGACGACCGTTGCAATTGATCAGTATTCCCGGTCCCGAGTACATGCACTATAACCGACACTTTATGCATTGAAAAATAAAATTCAATTACACCTGCTTCATGCACTCTCAATATCATTTATTTTTATCGACTGGTCGGGGTGAAAATTCAATGGCAATCTCCGTACAGCTGAATCCAATCATAATTTCACCCGAAAATCGGCTCAATTCCGGACTGAATACTCATCATCAGTGGACTTTCATTTATTCTGGCTTCACCTTCTCTCAATCCACTGCGGGTGCATCAATTGTGGTGGTCCATTACCTCCACATACATTTTGAATTTATTTTTACAATTCCACACGAGCCCCGAGTTCATAAAGAAAAATTACATCCGGCCCGGGTAATAAAGCTGTCTCAAAAGATCTCAACGCGAATAAACTACTTTTTTACCCCCAACATCTTCATTCTGCATGATAATTCTTCATTAATTTCCGCTTTCATTTTTATTTACCATTCCCAAACGCTTAAACAATCGTTAAAGTCACGAGTTGCTACCATAAATAAATCGATGGCAACAAACGTCCCCATGAATTCATCAGCCAAAGGATTTCACTCAGTTGTTAAATTCTCACTCCCCAAAGAAATTGGAATTTTTCCAGATATAAAATGTAACCTCGGAGTAAAAAAAATCATAAACACGTGTACATTGTAGACCGTAGAAGTGGATGAAATACGTAGGATAAAAAGAAAACGAATAAAGAGAATGAATAAAGAAACGGAACGCAAATGCCCAATGTAAAAATAAAGAGAGAGAGAGAGAGAAAAAAAAGAGAATATAAAAGGAAGATAATAAAAGTTGAAAAAAGAGGGGCGATGGTACACGGTGTAGTAGCCACGACTTCTCGTGGCTGCAGAAGCCGCTCCGTGGTAAATACATAAACGTTCATGTATTTCTACGCGGCTAGTCTCATGGATTGAGCATGTGGATACCTTGCAATCCACGGTATAACCGATGAAATAGTGTGTATGTACACTTGCGGTGAAGTGAGAAGGATATATAATGTGGATGGGGGAAACGTGGGCACGAGACGTCTCTGGCCGAAAGTACGAGAAGAAGCGGTGGCTAGGTCACGGTCGGGGCGATGCCCTCTACTCTCAGAGAAGAGGGACTCCTCGTGCTCGTGCTCCTTTCATCCTCGCGCACTTTTCTCTCTATTTGCTTCTCACTCCTTTATTCATTACCTCCATTCCTCACCCTCAAAAGCCCTCTCCCTCAATTCTCCCATTACTCCAGGACAATGCCACCTTGATTGAGATTTCAACAGACGTTAACTATTGGATTTCGATACTAATCGATCACCACTGATTATCAGCCTCTTATCGATAAAAATCTGTTCAATTCTTCATTTTATCGTTTGGTTTTTGAGTTGATGATTTATAACGATTTTTATATTTATGACGATTATTATTACGATTTATTATTACGATTTATTATTATTTACAAGTCTCACTGACATTGAAGACAAATTCGACGATCGAAATACATAGATTATCTCAGATTATTAACCGGTATCAATCATGCAGTTGAAATTTTTTCTAATTGGCCACAATAAAGAAGGGGATTTACAGGTGTTGGATAAAAAGAGGTAGAAAAAGGGGATTTAAAAAAAAATCATAAATTATC